TGACCGAGTCAACGGTTGACTCGCCGAGTCAACTCGGCCGAGTTGACCGAGTCACCGGCGAGTCACCGGACTCCGGTCACCGGCCGGCGAGAAAGGGCGACGGCTTACCGGCGGTCAACGGCGGCGGCGGCGCGGCGGAGGTGCGGCGGCGGCGGCTTCCCGGCGGCGGTCGGACGGCGGCCGGCTGCGGCGGCTCCGGCGAGGCGACGGTGGCGCGTGGGCTTCACGCGCGGCTGCACCGGCGTCGGACGGTGGCGCGTGGGTCACACGCGCGCGCGGCGGTCGATCTTCGGCGGGCGCGTGACGGCGGCTCCGGTGGCGGATCTCGGCGTTTTCGGGGTCTACGGCTTCGTCTCGACGTGTAGAACACGATGGTGGCCTTGCATTTACGAGATTCTCAACGGTTAGGAAGTTATGGACGTTTTACTAAACGGATCAAAACTAACTTAAAAACGTGGCGGTTTCCGGTGGTTACCTAGGCTGGGGGTCGGCGGTGACGAGCTGGACGGGTACTCTGGTCGTGGTGTCTCTGGTGGCGAGCTCAGGTGACTCCTTCTCTACAAAACCAAATACTCTTTCTCAAGCTCTCTCTCTACACTTTCTCTCTAAACTCTCTCTCTCTCTATTGCATGCAGTTTTCTGAGAAAACAAGGTGAAGAGAATAGCTTTTATAGCTAGTACCATTGGTCAATTCGGATGGGTCTGAGGCTTGGGCCGAAAATGATGAATTTTGTGGGTTTGGGTCTTGACAGCATCATTAACATTGGTTTGCATATTATAAGTGAAAACATTATTGACACATGGATCTTCTGTCACATTTTATTATTTATAAATATTAGAAACTTTATTTGTATTTGTTAGAAACAGAGCAATAAGTATTAGAAAAAAACCTTACGTATAAAGTTAAAACTTAAGCAGAATTTATGATTTGTCTGGAGAAACATAGCTAAATATTTTTCAAAGCTACTAATGTAGATTTTGATGTTTATTAAATCATTTTGGCTGCATATATTAGAGAAAAAAAGACAACGATGTGGAAGCATACAAGCTACTAATATAGATATTGCATACTCCACCTAGGCGATGCGGGCCTTCTTGTCAACTTGGTATATTATGGGGCCATAGTTTATTGTTGATGAGACCACTTGAAGTTGCTTCACGTTCCTAGCAAGAGATTATCTTGCTATTACTGGACGGACAAAGTAGTTTGATTCGGTGATGACGAAAGAGTCTCTATGAGGAGGAGATGAGGAGAGCTGGTGCCCTGGATGAGACTTAACCATCTCACTGGTACTTTAAAATCTCTCTGACTTACCGTCTGGTCGTTCTAACACCTTATTTGCCCATCACAACCGCCTGACAGTAAGTACCCCATTTCATAGTGAATAAAAGTAGAAGATAAAGGAGTGAGAGTAAGCTAGATTAAAGCTGCTGATCCAATAAAAACAAACGGAAGCTATTGGGGGAAAATTGATAATCAATACATGAACAAATGGTTCTTCCTTTAATAAATATTTGGATAAAAAATTTGATAATCAAGAAATGAACAAAATGAAACAGAAGAATTGTGATGATTTTCGATGGATGAGGTCTTACCTTTCCTAATATAAAGCCAATAAACTTATAATGGAACAAAAAAAATCTAATCTATTAAGTATTCTAATACAGACGAAACAAAGATATCAAAAGATCAAAAACAAATGCTGAAGACTAATCAAGGATGAGGAGAGCCTTTGAGTGGTTTTGACCATATTTTCTCCATGAATACTCATTTGCTAGAATATTTTCCATCTTGCTGATAACGGCAGGAACCCTGATCACTCCTTTCACTCTAGATTTCCTTTTTTTCTTTTTCAAATTACAATTTATAAAACAATATGATTTTTTAAATATCTAAGATTTAGATTTTTGATAATAAAGATTAGCTTTGGATATTAGTTACTAACCTTTTCTTGGCACGGAGATGAGTTACATCTATTGGATCTATTTAACACCTCTTGAAAACAGAGGCTGACCAGTCGAACCTGAGACGAAAGGTTAGTGAACACGAACCCTGATGAAGTCTGGTTACTCTTGATGTAACATCTATGAGAAGGTATAAATGACTTCGCCAGGGGAGTTGAAAAAACAGGAGTTAGCCATATTGATAAGGAAGAATGTATTTGCTGTTTAAACATATTGATAAGATGTTTGTAAAAGGAAGAATGATGACCTATTTATACTCCCAGATACACCGAATCTGAATCAAAGCACGCATTCAAAGATACACCGTGATTGATTCAATTAATTGATATTAAAAATTGACTAAGAAATAATCAAGAGCGTTTCAGTGTTGAGATGATACATACGAAGATGATAAGTTGCCGCATGACGAAGGAGGAGACTATTGCAAGAAGTGTAAGGTTTTCTTTCTTCAGGTTATGAGCCTGTAGTAATCAAACGTAGCCCATCCGTTTTGGTAGCCCAAATACATAGCAGATAATTTTCAATCATAAAGTCTAACACACAGAATATATGAAAATTTAACGCATAGTTTTAAGGATAGATACTTGGAGTCTGGAGCACGTTCTCTCTGAACGGAACGAAACGGCAGCGGCAATTGCTGTAAGTGTCACTCGTGATCAAAGCCTGCAGTCCTACATTGCCAGATATGCTCTGGTGTGGCTTCATCATCTTCTCGCTTTGGAGGCTCACTGATAAGGGGTTTGTGTTTTGGCGAGCTATTATCCATTTTTAATGATGTCTAATGACATCCCTTTTTCCTTTTTCTTTTGTTCGTTTTGCTTCCAAGATTGTACTACTGAACTGCCAGTGTTATAAAAAAAAAGTTTTAAAGAGGCAGGACACGTGTCGAAACAGGAGAACTCGACTTTGTGATCTGGCGTCTGACGTAGCATATCTTAGAAGGAGAGAAACATCTCTTTATATAAATAGATTAATTCGTCCATCATAATCTGACCTTTCGAGGAGGTTTTCTTCATGATATTTCGATACAAAAATACAAACTTTATACATGTATCTATTCTACAGTTTCTTAAACTGGACAGTCTACCATTTGTTTATCCAATTATATTTTCCGTCCAGACTTCAAAAACAGTAAAGAGATTTAAAGGGGGGGGGGATTAATGACCTGCTCCAGTGTATTTAGCATTTAAAATAACAATCAATATCCAATCTTTAATATATAGTCCCCTAAAATTCAAGTAATTTCTTAATACGATTTAGGCTTAAAATACACCAAAACAAAATGATGTTTCTGAACGAAAAAATAGATATGATGAGTCAAAAAAATTGTACTCTCTTTGTATCAATTTAAGTGCGTTTAACTTTTAAATTTTTTTATTATATGTGTCATTTTACATTTTTATAACATATTTTAAATGTTTTTCTAGTTTGTACCTATACTTTCAACCCATTAATTAACAAAATAAAAAAATAATGTATTAAATAGATGTAAAAACAAAAATTTAATCATTTTCTTAATTTGTAAACAAAGAGAATAATGAATGATAAACGTAATGGGTGATTCGATCTAGGGTTTTTTATGGCTTTGGAGAGGATTCATGGATGGGATCCAGGAATTCAAGGAGGGGATCTGTTACGGGGGATAACTGATTATGGGGCTACGGTGAGATTTGGCATATTGGGTACCAGATCGATGGAGAATAATTCACTTCGGATTCGTGGTGACAACTTTTGGGATGAAGTAAAAGAAAAATTGGACAGGATTGAGGAAATCTCTCTATTCCAGGATGGTTTGGCTTTGCAATATCAGGGTTTTGCGATTCTCATACCAGAACCTTCCTTAGTTGGAAATGGGGATCAGGATTGGATCCGGTATTATGCTAGCAGGATTACGGTGGGATTCTCTGGCGATTTTGGTTTCTCCAGCATGGGATTCTCCAGTATTTTCACAGAGATATCGATATTAAAGAGATCGTATTTTGGCGTGAGGAAAAGGGCTTCTGTACTCACTATATAAAGGACCTCCTTATCAACAGGCGTATCATCAAGCATTCTCAACTATAACCTTCTCTCTCCTTTTCGAATTCTTTTTTTCTGCTCTTGGTTAGAATGACACAGAGTCAACTTCTCGGAGAAAATGGTGTTGATAAGGTTAGTGAGGGTAACCTTAAGCGTTTGAAGATCTCTGTCCCACATTTCAACAACTCTAAGTTGATCAAGAGATACGCCAAGACCTTGATAGGGAGATGCATTAATCCGGCCGAGCAAAAGGTGGAGTCTTTGCTCATGATGCTTCCGACGATATGGAAGTTGGAAGGCAGGGTCGTTGGCACAGACTTGGGAAGGGGAAGATTTCAGTTTCACTTTGAGAAGGAGGAAGATATTTTGGCTGTGTTAGAATTGCAGACGTAGCACTTTGACTACTGGATGTCTTCTCCGTTTCCTTCTATGATCCCATTTTGGACCAAGGTCGAAGGTGTTCCAGGAGAGTTTTTGTCAGCTGACACTTTCCAGAGCATTGGGGACGCCATTGGAGAGACTATTTATGTTGATCTGGATACAGGGAAGATAAGAGTGGTGCTGGATGGGGCAAAGAGCTGTGCCTTAACAAAACAATAGAGTTCGCTGGTGGCGAGTTCTATGAGAGTGAAGAGGCTTTGGTGACGCTGAAGTATGAGCACTTATTTGGTTATTGTGGTACTTGTCTGAGCCTATGTCACAATAAAGATTTCTGTCCGCTCACTTAACAAGGGTTCGGAGAGAAAGAAAGAGAAAAGGGAGGTATCAAGAGACATGAGTGATGACCGTGCTAGAAGCTATAAGGGGGTGGTTATCAACGGAGATGGAGGATATTCGAATGGTTGCAAGTCTCAAAAGGAATACTATGGTAAGGGAAAGGGGAAAAAGGTTGACGAACAAGATTCCAAATGGGTCAAGGTTCCGGAGAAGGGGCATAAGAGATCATATTCCTCCCGAAGTAATGGCAGAGTTGATGAAGGGACATCAAGACATGGTTATTCACGCAGGGATCAATACATAAATAGTTTTCTAGAGGAGAGACCTCGTTCATCTGGTGCTTCTGGTAGGGAATAAGGGCTAACCAGAAATGAGAGGGATCAAGAGGTGGAAGAAGGAGAAATCAAGACCACCAGGAGCACCCAGAATCGTGTGGATCACCAGATCGAAGCTCCTGCAGAAGAAAAGGCCAATGTCGTACGTGTGTTGTCAGTGGAGGTGGGAAAGGACATAGATTGGTCCAATGATGCTTCACTGGAGGGTCCAGGGAATGGGGAGGAAGTTGGGATGGATATAGAAGGGGAGCGAGAACCACCAGCTGAGATGGAGGGGAAGTTAGGGGAGGAGGAATTTCAAGATCTAACAGATGAGGAGCAGGAAATCGATCAAGCTGAGGCCAGGGTGGAGCCTGAGGATGGTCGATCTTTCGTTTCTGAGGAAGGAATGGAGCGGCCTAAGGGAGGTTTAGAGAAGAAAGGAGGCGCAGGGAAGAGTCTTTTTACTAGCACTGCGGGATGCAACACAAGCAAAAAAATTGTTCAAGCACTTCTCTCACCTCGTAAGAGAGGCGCGTCTAAACAGGGTGCTAAGAAATCTGGATTTCCTAAACACGTGGAAGAGAAGGGTGAAATTTCGTATGGATACCACAATAGAACAACTTGAGCAAATCCAAGAAAACTAAGTTGCTTTATTAAGAATCACTTAAACAATCTCACAAGATCTGTTTAATCCGGTTTACTCAACGTCACAGCTTGACTTGAGACGGACCAATTCTTAATCTACCCAATGTACAGTGGTCGAGACAGACCACACCACTTGCTTACACAGAATCACAGCTTAGAACAATGAAGCTCGATAATCCCAAAAATCCCAAAAGCCGTAACCTAGCTAATGAACTCTATCACCAATATATACTCATGTATCCTAATGTGATAAGCAAAGATTCTCCCAATATCTTCTTGTTTGTTGCCTAACAAACATCCTAGAATCTTGGGCCATTATCTTCCAAACGGCTCCCTTGTATTTCGCTCCATGTGTAACACACTCTCCACTTTGTGTGACACATCAGCCTTACTCTCAAACACACTTGAGCTCACTTGCGTGTAACACAGTCTCCTGTCTGTGTGACACACTAATCGTCACGCCCAGAAACCTGAGCTTACATTCTCCCCCTTTTTATCTTAATGTGACAGCTCAAGCACATGTCATGAAACATGCACACCAAAAAACAGAACCAAGAACACATTCGCATAGAAGCAATCAAAGTCAACCATAACTCAAACGCATTCATTGATAAAGTCTAGATCCTCCAAGGTTACACACCACACTTAGTCCTAGATAGTCTAACTAAACTTAATACTGAAACATAGTTCAACTACATCGAAACCGAAACATTAAACAAGAGAAAGAAAATATCTAGTCTACTCCTCCTCCTCATCATCGCTATCAATGACATGCACTGGCTCCTCTCCAACATACTCTCCCCCTGCTTGAGTGCACCATTAGATAAAACTGTTGTGAAAAAGAAATTGCAGACAAGTAGAACAAAACACTTACTTCGACTGCGGAGCTGGATCGCACAGAGATGATTGATGACCTTTTGAAGATTGTCAACCAGATTGGGTGGTTTGGTAACTCCCCCTATTCCTCCGCCAGCTCTTCCGTCCTTGACAAGAGCAGTGGGATGCCCTGTAAGTTCTTCATCAAGTTCACGACGAGGTACAACCCGCTGAAATTGCAAGAGCTGATAGATGAGGGAAGGAAACCGATTCTCCTCTTAGTGTCATCAGCAGAATGCGCCATATCCATGAGCTGTTCATACGCCAGGATGCCAAAATCAGCTCTCTTGTTGTGATGGAGTGAATAGAGAAACCTAAGACGATCGTGATGCATGCGGGTGTTATCCATTGTTGGCATCCAGTTGGTACAGTAGAGCTTGTACAACAGTTGATTGTCAGCTGTGAGGAGTTTCAAACACATTCCTTCCCATTTTTGATAACGTCCGTCGGTGAGAAACGTAACCATTGTGTCCAGGTTTTCGGAGTACATGTCATAGGATTGATCACCTGGACTGAGAACGCACATGAGATCGATGATAGACCGCAACACCTCATACATTTCTCCACGAACATAGACCGCAACACCTCCTTGAATATCCCTTGCATCTGCTAAGTTCGCCATGAATTCCCAAATCAAATTGGGTACATAGGGTTCGACATCTATAGCTGTGTAAATCATTCTTGAGTGAACCACCACTTCCTTCACAGCATGTAGCTTCTCAACATCGAGAGGGAGAAAATGAAGATCGATGAACTTCTTGTCCGAGAACTTCAAATACCTACAATACCCGGCTTTTGTCACAAATCGT